GAGACAGGCAAGTCATCCTCTTTATCTTCTGACTCTGAGTCCATAGGGTTTATAGGATCCATCAATTTGCTTTTATGAGGAATCCCAGCATGGGTTCTCCTTTCAAATTCACGAGTCTCAGTATTTGTTGATATACCAATATCCGAATCCTCGTTGCCATCAGATCTTAGACGAACCCTTTTTGTCCTGCCTTCTCACCTCTTGTATCAGTGAAATTGGATGACTATAGAACTACCTTAGGATTTTTTATTCTTCTAAATTCAAATTTGGTATTAGCATGATTCTCACCCGAAAATGTCCAATTGGGAATTTTAGGATCTGAATAGTTTAGGATAGTTTTTAGTGGAAAATACATATTTCAATAGACTAAAAATTCTCATTTCATAAATAAGATGTCATGTTTAGTATTTCACAAATCAGAAATTTTTTTAATTAATTAATATATTAAATATTATAATACAAAATTATCCAACCCTAATTTATTTTCATTTTCCCCTCTCCCTCGACAGTCGCCTACTTGTCCCTCTCTCTTCCTCTCTCCTTTTCAAACTTCAGCAGCCGACAATGGAGCTACTCCGATGGACACCGTAAGCACCTTCGTCGTTGAACAAGCCACAGATGGCTCAACTTGTGTGCAGCGATGAGCGCTGCTAAAGAGACGCCGCTCGAGATCTCTACTGGTTCAACCCATTGCCACTACGTGCAGAGGTGCTGTCTAGATGTCGCTGTTCGACTAATGTCTATTGTGAATTTAAGGATGAGTGGTAGTTATTGTTCACAAGGCGGTGGTAGAGATGAAGTGGTGGCTGCCGCTACATTGGATTTGAGTATTTTTTGGTGAATGTGGTTTGATTGAGATAGCAGTTATGATTTTTTTTTTTACAGGAGTAGTGTTTCTAGCTGTGACGTTGATGGTGGTGGCGTTGGCGTTAACGTTGGCGGTGATGGTGATGGTGGTCGCAAGTGGTTAGTGCAATGGCAAATAGGCGACGATTTTGTATTATTTTGCGGTAGTTTGTGGTGGCGACGGTAATCGTGATAGTGATGTTGTGTGGTGGCAATTTGGTGTTTGTGTGGCGGCAATTTGGCAGAGGAGTTTGTGTGGCGACGTTGATGGTGATCTGTGGAGGTGTTGTGGATCTGTTGGCCATCTGTGGAAGAGTGTGTTGTTGGTGTGTGGCGACGACGGTGGTGGCGATGATTTGGGACAGTTGTGGACCATGACTGTGACTCCCAACTGTGGTGTTGGTGTGTGGCGGCAACCGTGGTAGCGATGAAAATTGTGACTATGATCGTGACTCTCAATTGTGACTCACAATTGGATACGTGACCTGAAGATTATGACTGTAACTCACAATTGGATACGTGACCTAAAAATTGTGATTGTGAATCGTAAGTGTTGGTGGTGATCACAAATTATTTGGTTGACCGTGACAACTAAATTATTTAATCTGTGACCAATAAATAATATGTGACCAATAAAAAAAAATTGTAATGAAAAAAATAATGTGTGACCTAAAAAACTGTTAATCTGTGATCGATAATTTAATAATTTGTGACTATATAATTAATTGTGACTTGTAATATATGTAATTTGTAATCAATAAATAAATAATGACTCATAAATTTTTTGATTTGTGACTGATCAACAAATTGCGACTTATAAAATTTTTGAAATGTGACCGTAAAATAATTTGAAACAAAAAATAATAAGTGATGAATTAAATCGATAATTTGTGACCAAATTATATAAATATGTAACTTAAATATAATTAATTAAATTATAAATAATTTTAATAAAAATCTGATTTTTGAAATTTAAAACTTATTTTCTTGTTTTTGAAATGTGTCATAATTAATCTCTTACTTATGAAAATTTCCCTAGTTTTTACACGTAAAATCGGAACAATTAGTGTGTTGATTGAAACAATTGATGCTTGACCCAGGGTCGTACAATGTTGCTGGACACTCGACACGGGGTAATTGGATGAAAAATTGCCATGGAACCCTTCAATTATAAGAAGCGAATACTGTTATGCCTTGAGAGCACTGATCCCCAAAAACAAGAACATAATTTTGCAATATGGTTCCATCAATTTGATAGCCTTGGTGGCGCGAGAGGTCGTACAGTTGACCGTGCCCACGGTAGCATTGATTTACACTATGGTCCCATCAATTATTCAATGCTGAAGAATTTAATGTGTTTTGCAAGAATACTAATAATATATGATATTTTATGCTTTTTTAGGAGTAATAGGACGATATTCTTCTAAAATAATGATATATAAAAACAATGTTTCTTTTGGAATATAATATTTTTCGAAAATATTTATATAACGTAGGTAAGAATGTCAACGAGCCGAGTCGAGTTGGCTCACGAGTCAAAACTCAAGGCTCGAGCTTTGCTCGAATAAAATGAAACGAGCTTTTTTTGAGCTCGAGCCGAGCCTAGCAAAAGCTCGACGAAAAAAAAGACTCGACCTGAGCTTTCGGCTCCAACTTTAGCTAGCCGAGCTGGCTTGATTTTTTCTCTCTTTTTTCTTTTTTTAATAATTAATAAGGTAGCCGGTAGCTGCATTTTTTTAACTTTTCGTGGTTTTTTTTTTAATTTTATATATAAAATAAGTCCTGAGTCGGCGAGCCACACAGGTCGGCTCAGGTTAAGCCTGGAACCCCAAAATGGAGCTCGACCCGAGCCACGGGCAACCCGAGTCGACGAACCCAATTGACATCCTTAAACTAGGGCTGCACAAAAAATTCGAGAAACCACAAACTGAACCGAAATCGTTGAGTTGAAACCGTTGGTTCGAGTCCACGTGAAACCGTGATTTCTTTTCCCTCAAACCGATCCAAACCATTTCAAAATGGTTTGGTTTAGGTTTTGATTTTCAAAAACCGCACAAAATCGAACCGAATTGTTTTCATTTTTATAGTTTTCACTTATAAAAAAAACAAAAAACATATTTAGCAATACAAATTACAACCAATCTATTGAAATAATCATGAAAGTAAATTAGCTTCATCATTATTGACCTATGATTTAACAGGTTCACAACACGTCCTCACCCGATATTTAAACTAAACTAAAATTATTCCAAAATCATATGAAATGAAAAAAAAAAAAAACATATATTTTCAACAATCTAAATCATATTAAACAAAATTACGTTAACAAATCACGTCTAAAGTTTCAGAAACCCTAATATAAACTCTCATTTTCCTAACATTTGACGCTTGTCTGCCACTGCTGAATAAATCGTCAATCGCCTTTGCTTGTTAGTCTATTAATCTCTATCTGAATCACATTTTTCTTTCTTCTCTTTCAATAAGTCTTAGATTCTTATTCAAGCCATTTTTTCATTGTTCTTTCTTTTATTTGTTTTTTTTTTTTAACTTATTATAAACTTGTGAGTTGTGGTTTGGATTGAAAAATGATTGTTTGCGCGCCTAGACGATTAATGAACTTGTTTGTGATTTGGAAAGAATGAAGGACGGAGCATATCGATTGTGTGAAAATGTTAAAAGTTTTTTTAACTAATACTACTACTTTTTACTTTCATAAAGTAGTTAAAGGATGAAATTCGTCAATTTTTAGTAAGTCGAAACTCTATCAATCTCTATACATCTAAATATATCTCATTCAATTCTTATTTAACATCTCACTAGCAAGACGAAAAAAGAGTTTTAACCAAACTATAATATCAAAAAATAACTTTACATTTATCAACTGTTATATTACAATATGAATATCAAACAAAAAAAGGTAAATAAAAATGAAGAAATATGTATTTGTTCTATTAACATCTTTTAGCAACAAACTTTGAAAATATGAATGTAATTTAACACTTAATATTATTAGTTCTTGTTTAAACTTAAATTTAACTTATGTTAAATACATTACTATAATATCAAATGGTAAACCGCAGATTAAAATCGAACCAAACCGCAAATAATGGTTTGGTTTGGTTTGATTTAGTTCTAAAAATAAAATGGTTTGATTTGGTTTGAAAAAATTTCAAACTGCATAAAATAGTTTGAGTTGAAAATATAGCACAAACAGCCCAAACCAAACCGCGTTCACCCTACCCTAAATGCAGGTTGTGTTTTTTTAAGAACATTAACACCATATTCATTTAGATTAAATATAATTTTTAGTTATACTTAGCATAAACATAATTAAACATTACATAAATAGTTTAATATGATTTTCCGTATATAAAAAAAAAATGGAACTTTCAATAAATGAACTTACTTGAGTAGAAATGGAGCAATTAAATTAAAGTATTTTTCAGATTTTTTTGATGTTGAAATCTTCAAATAGTCTATAAATTTTAGTACCCTAGATTTGATTTGTTTCTTGTTTGTAAGACTTGATTCATGACTTTCCACCACGACCACATATTGTCATATTCTTGGGGCAGAAAAAATTGAATTGTATACAACAGAAGATTTACTTTTGATAACTCAGTTATCTAAAGCTTCGTGCTGATCACATATCATAAATAAATGAGAGAAAAAGGGGAAAAAGTACAAAAATCTATAGACTTATTTGTATTTTAATGAGACTCAGTGTCCATGTATATAGATTACAATAAGGCCAAATGAATCCAATAGTCATTCACAAATACGTCTTTATTTATAACATTTTATAAATCACTTATTTACATAAAAATGTACTCATAAGTAGATATTTTACTTAAACATACAAAGTGTAACATGGATGATATTTCTATTGATAATTAGTGAGATCCACGAGGGGCCTAAGCAGTGTATAAGGAGCAACTTTCCTTTCAAGAAAATGTAGTCCCAACTCACTAACCTAACTTTCTAGGGACGATACATTTGAAATTTCTTGCTATTCAAGCATTATTTGATATTTTTATTCCAGTGTTTGCTTGTTGCAGAATCAAATGAATTGCTAATTATAATTTGTCCATAAGCAACATCTAAGTGAAAATTTTGACCAGATGTCGTGCAACCGTGACATGTATACAGTCAAATTTAAAAGAACTTTTATGTATGACTGATTTCAAATTCCGTTGGATACATATGACTAATACTCAGAAGAAGACCATATACCCAAAATTAAGACAATTTACTTGAATTTCTTACCAGTAATCATTTCTAATAAAGTGACATAATCTCAAGATAATCATTTATGTTTAATTATTAATTTATTAAAAGGGCACTTCAAAAATAATGAATAGAAGACAATATTAATTCCTAAAAAAATAAATGGTAAAGTTGGTCTTTGAAAAAAAGGCCACAGAAGAGGATGCTTAAAGGTGGTTGGAACAGAAGAAGCTTAACTTGAAGGCAATGGAGACTCTGCAACCAACATCTGCCTATATTAGGTGGTCAAGAAAATGATAGTAATTCTACCCTTTTTAACATTCCTTAAAAAGAATCCCTTACCACACCATTGCTTGACCAGCCTCTTTTCTCACTATACACAGTACACACACTACCTTCTCCATCAATGGAAGCCAGCGCTGGACTTGTAGCTGGTTCTCACAACAGGAACGAGCTCGTCGTCATCCATGGCCATGAAGAGGTAACCATGCCTATGTTAATAAGCAAGTTGAGACAATTCATTATACATGTTATGTTTGTAGATATGCATCTTATACTAACCATATGCATGTTTGGTACATTGGAACATAATGGAATATGATTAAGAAAGTCCTATACAATTCAATAAATGAAACATGTAAAGCTTAGTTTATTAATGCATACCAACTGTTTTTTCAGCCCAAGTCTTTGAAAAATCTGAGTGGCCAAGTTTGTGAAATATGTGGCGATGAGGTTGGCCTAACGGTCGACGGGGAACTATTCGTGGCATGCAACGAGTGTGGTTTCCCGGTGTGCCGGCCATGCTATGAGTATGAGAGGAGAGAAGGAACCCAACTTTGCCCCCAATGTAAAACCAGATACAAGCGTCTTAAAGGTATATATTGTAAATTGATATGCTCGAGTACAGGATTTTACTAATGTTATTTACTACTATCTCACTTGTATATGTTGGATTTACATTCTAATTGTATCTTATTATATTTTGTGACTTAAGGGAGTCCAAGGGTCGAGGGAGATGACGATGAAGAAGATATTGATGACATTGAACACGAATTCAACATTGATGAGAAAAACACAAACACAAATATTGCTGAAGCCATGCTTCACGGGAAGATGAGTTATGGGAGAGGACCTGAAGATGATGATAATGCCCAGTACCCGCCTGTTATAGCTGGGGTCCGCTCTCATCCTGTAAGATAAAAAAAAACCGCTTTCTGTCATAATTATCTCCTTGTATATATAGGTGGTTCTCAATTTTAAGTCAGCATTGACTGACCAAGGTGAAATTCATTTCTTGTGAACTTTGTTCCATGGATGCAGGTCAGCGGTGAAATCCCGATGTCCAATCATGCTTATGGAGAGCAGATGGGATCCTCTCTGCATAAACGGGTGCATCCCTATCCAGTATCCGAGCCTGGTAAAAAGTCACATAAATCTAACTAAATTTATATGCTCCTGGTAAAAAGTCACGTAAATCTAACTAAATTTATATGCTCAATCGGATGCTCTTTTGTGTGAGAATGTATATGTATTTGGTGCATGGATATTTCTGTTGATGTTCTATAGTACATTGCATGATATTGAGAACAGGGAGTGCAACATGGGATGATAAGAAGGAGATGGGATGGAAAGAAAGGATGGATGATTGGAAAATGCAGCAAGGAAATTTGGGGCCCGAACCAGATGACTTAGCTGACCAAGACATGGCCATGTAAGTAATCAAAGGAACAAAAAAGGGCCATGTAGGTTGATTTTCCATTTCAATATTAGAGGAGCGGGGAAAAAAATAAAAATATATAAAAAATGAAGCTTCTAGGCAATCACAGAGAAAATTTAATAAAATTAATGAAATGATATAGTACTTCTGTCTAAGACAATGACTCAACTTCAACACCTTTCATAGAGAACATGTCGATACAAAGCTTTCCAAATTATTGACTATTTTACAAATAAAATTTTCTTATGTTTCGTTTCTGTACAGTTCAATGAATTTGATTATCAAAAAATAAAATAAAAATAAAGGACTTTCTAAATATAGTTGGCTTCCATCAATTCTAGACGCAACTGAGTAGACATTTGATGTATGTGAAAATGCAGTGTAGATGAAGCAAGGCAGCCACTTTCAAGGAAAGTACCAATTGCATCTAGCAAAATCAATCCTTACCGTATGGTAATTGTGGCTAGGCTGGTGATTCTGGCTTTCTTCCTACGTTATAGACTATTGAACCCCGTGCACGACGCCTTTGGGCTCTGGTTGACTTCTGTTATATGTGAGATCTGGTTCGCCTTCTCATGGATCCTTGATCAGTTCCCCAAATGGTTTCCCATCGATCGTGAGACCTACCTTGATCGTCTTTCTCTGAGGTATGAACTCATCTAGGGCAACAGAATATCTTGAATCTTATCACCTCAGTTATAAAATAAAAATAAAAATCTTTCCAATTTTTCTATTCAAGAAAAATAGGAAAGAAATAATAAATGGAAAGATTATTTACACTACTATATACACTATCAGTAAAAAGAACATGATACAAGTAAAGCTAATATTTCAACCCCCAATATATAAACCTGCCTTATGTTAATTATAGTACACGAATTATTAATTAATCAGGTGAAGTTCAAAAGTCATCAGCAGAAGTAACCAACAGAGTAATTCCTAGTTTTGCAAGAGCAAAATAAAAAAGCATAATTGACTTCACATCCCAGTGGAGTATTTATTATGTATAGGAATACACTAGAATACTGCATCATATTTATCAGTGTTCCTGCAAGTACATATAATTTAACAAAATTTTGATGCAGGTATGAGAGAGAAGCTGAACCCAATATGCTATCTCCAGTAGACATATTTGTCAGCACGGTAGATCCCATGAAGGAACCACCTCTTGTTACAGCAAACACCGTTCTCTCAATATTGGCAATGGATTACCCTGTCGATAAAATATCATGCTATATATCTGATGACGGCGCTTCAATGTGCACCTTCGAAGCGCTATCAGAAACAGCTGAATTTGCTCGGAAATGGGTTCCTTTCTGCAAAAAATTTTCTATAGAGCCTCGTGCCCCAGAGATGTACTTCTGTGAGAAGGTTGATTATCTGAAGGATAAAGTGCAGCCAACATTTGTAAAGGAGAGAAGAGCTATGAAGGTATAATATCAACTCTTATGATTTCAATATAAGAATCACAAAGTTGGATGTAATATGCTTCTTCAAATGTGTGACAGAGAGAATATGAAGAGTTCAAGGTAAGAATTAATGCACTGGTTGCAAAAGCCCAAAAAGTTCCACTCGGAGGATGGATCATGCAAGATGGGACCCCATGGCCTGGAAACAACACCAAGGATCACCCAGGTATGATTCAAGTCTTTCTAGGCCATAGTGGGGGACATGATGTAGAAGGAAATGAACTTCCTCGCCTAGTTTATGTATCTCGTGAGAAGAGACCTGGTTTCCAGCATCACAAGAAAGCCGGTGCAATGAATGCCCTGGTAAAGATCAAAAATCTTTCATTGGCTGTCTGATTAATCACGAGCTGAAATAAATTTTTTGCTCCCATTTCATCTGTTTCCTAAAATGCATTGGTAACAGAGGTCAGGTTCCTGAAAGAAAAATCATATTACTTTTTTCACCAAATTCTGCAGGTTCGTGTTTCTGGTGTTCTTACCAATGCTCCATTTATGCTGAACTTGGATTGTGACCATTACCTAAACAATAGCAAGGCTGTGAGAGAAGCAATGTGTTTTTTGATGGATCCTCAAGTCGGAAAGAAGGTTTGCTATGTTCAGTTCCCACAGAGATTTGATGGAATAGACAGGCATGATAGATATGCCAACAGAAACACGGTCTTCTTTGATGTAAGTTCCTGCAAAAGAAGCTACAAAAGATGTTATGGATTTCCAACTATAATAGAGAGGCTATGAAAGGAAGGAAGTGCATAGCCTGGTGCTTATATTAAAATATATTAATATTCTTTTCTATTGTATTTATAATTATTCACCAATCTTCTTATTTCTTCTCTTGCATAGATCAACATGAAAGGCTTAGATGGAATTCAAGGTCCGGTCTATGTTGGTACAGGATGCGTCTTCAGAAGACAAGCTTTATATGGCTATGAACCTCCAAAGGGTCCTAAGCGTCCAAAGATGGTAAGCTGTGATTGCTGCCCATGTTTTCGACGCCGCAAAAAGCTTCCTAAGTACTCTAAGGATGATATCAATGGAGGTGCAAACACTACAGGTTCCAGTCATTGTCTTTCCAATAGTCAATAGATATGCTAACTGATTTTCTGCCAGGTATACTGAAACTCATACATTTCTCATTTTCTGGCTCAGGATTTGATGACGATAAAGAGCTCTTAATGTCACAGATGAACTTTGAAAAGAAATTTGGACAGTCACCAATTTTTGTGACTTCAACATTAATGATTGAAGGTGGAGTTCCACCTTCCTCAAGCCCAGCGGCCCTTCTCAAAGAAGCCATTCATGTCATCAGTTGCGGCTATGAAGACAAGACAGAATGGGGTTCTGAGGTATGTTCAGCACCTCTGCTTACTCCGAGAAAGTGGGATAATATACACATAAATCCCTTTCTAAAGAATAATGTATGTCATGCATGACCTGCATTAGGTCTTATTGTCTATCATTATAATTATTAATTTCATAACTCATGTCTCCTTCTCACATCTCATAAACATGCAGTTGGGTTGGATTTATGGCTCTATCACAGAAGATATCCTAACAGGATTCAAGATGCATTGCCGTGGTTGGAGGTCCATTTACTGTATGCCCAAAAGGGCTGCCTTTAAGGGATCTGCACCAATTAATCTATCAGATCGTCTCAATCAGGTGCTGCGCTGGGCTCTTGGTTCTGTTGAAATCTTTTTTAGTCGTCACAGCCCTGTCTGGTATGGCTACAAAAATGGAAAACTCAAGTGGCTTGAGAGATTTGCATATGTTAATACAACTGTCTATCCATTCACCTCCCTACCTCTTCTTGCATACTGTACCCTTCCTGCCATCTGCTTGCTCACTGGAAAGTTCATAATGCCAGAGGTAAAAGAATCATCATTATTTCTGTCTAGTCTTATTTATTTTATTTTACTGAATTTAAGTCTTCATTTCTGCTTGATTCAGATAAGCACCTTTGCAAGTCTCTTTTTCATAGCTCTCTTTCTCTCCATTTTTACCACTGGCATCCTAGAGCTAAGGTGGAGTGGAGTTAGTATTGAGGAATGGTGGAGAAATGAACAATTTTGGGTTATTGGTGGTGTGTCTGCTCACCTGTTTGCCGTTATTCAAGGTCTTCTAAAGGTTTTGGCTGGAATAGACACAAACTTTACAGTCACATCTAAGGCAACAGATGATGAGGAATTCGGAGAGCTATATGCTTTCAAGTGGACAACCCTCCTAATCCCTCCAACGACTATTTTAATTATAAACCTGGTTGGTGTTGTGGCTGGAATCTCTGATGCCATAAATAATGGGTACAATTCATGGGGTCCCCTGTTTGGGAAGCTCTTCTTTGCTTTTTGGGTGATTGTACATCTCTATCCATTCCTAAAAGGTCTCATGGGTAAGCAGAACAGGACACCTACCATTGTCGTTATATGGTCAGTACTTCTGGCTTCTATCTTCTCCTTGTTATGGGTCCGGATTGACCCGTTCATATTAAAAACTAAGGGGCCTGATACCAAGCAATGTGGGGTCAATTGCTGATACATTTCTCATACTTCCTCTACATATATATAATGTACTTTCTGGTTATGAGGATCTGATGTTTGTCCAACAAAGTGGAAGTTGCAGTTGAATGAATAAATCAAGCAGACAAAGTTTTGTTTAGCATAAGAATGGTATTCAATTTGTACATGAATGTAACAGAAAATAATGCAATTGATGCTTTTTGCTAAATTGTTGGTTTGCACCATGATGATCAAGCCAATGCCTCATATTATGCAAACAAATATCTTGATTTTTATTTTATTTTTCCAAATAAACTATTGACAGTGCAGCTCATAGAGCAGAATAAACACTATTTTTGTTAGTCTAAAACCAAAAAGAAAAAAAAAATGTTGAGCATCATGGGAATTTTTCCGTGTAGGAAAAAGAAAAGAAAAGATGTACATGACGAAACAACAGCAATAAGAGAATCTATTAGGCTCTATTATGTTCTGAGACTGACCAAATAATGTGACTTGGTCAGAGGTTTTCTTATATCATTGTCTGAATCATTTATTTTCTTTTCTTTTATTCCATTATGAAATCAATAATGAACAAAAATGTATTAATTCTTACACAAAGCTGATCAAACCTTAGCAAAATAAAAGGTCAAAAGTAATCAACAGATACCATCTCTCTCTCAGAGCAGCTCCTCAAGCAACTCCATCTTCAATGAGAAGACGTGCTGTCATCAAAAGTAGATGTGAGCACTGGACAAATCTGTTCTGAAAAATAGCTGGTTGGTTAGCATTCTAACATCCAGGGTAGGCAAAAAGGTGCATTCTTTTCATAACAAAATACGAGGTAGAACAAGTACAGATGTCGTTTGTTATTCATTCCTTCAAGAATTTTTTTTGATCCAATCCATATGAATCAATAGAAAAGTCAAATCCCTTATGAGTTTCCATGATATGTTTGGGCTAGAAAATATGAATGATGTCTATATAAAAAGAATTTAGAATGGAGTTTCTTGATTGATGATAGCTTGTTATGCCAGGAAAACAAGGAAATAAAGAGAATCTCCCTTCTCCCGTGTGATAATCTTCATCAGTACACAAGTACTACCAGTAGTCTCCACAAGAACAAGCACCGTCTTCAAAATGATGAAACCTATTAGCATCCCTCACGACGATTATTCTCTCAGTGATTTTAGATACAAATTTGGTAAAATTATGGCAGTCAAGGCAAACCCTAAGGTTTTTAATAATTCTAATCTCTGCTCCCGGTTCAGATGTTATAAGACCAAAAACAATGGCCAACTTCTCACTATGAACTTTCACCATTAGCTCCTTCTCTTCTTCCTCTACATCATGCAATGCTGTGATGGTCTCCATCTGGTATCCAGCATCCCTCATTTTATCCATTAACTTTTCAAGCATTGCATAAATTGATTTTGATTCTGGGTGGGACCTGTCACTAGACATAAAGACATGAGGCTGTCCCCTGACCTCAATCAAAGTGCAACCAGGGGTCTTTGCCAGATTTCTTTTCTTAACAACTTCACGCACTAAAGCAGCCCGAGAGTAATTATGCTCGGTTGAGTATATGTTTGACAGTAAAACAAAGTATCCTACATTTTCGGGATCCAGTTCAAACAACTTATCAGCTGCCAAATGAGTTATGTTAGTATCCTTGTGAATCATGCAAGCGCCCAGCAGTGCACCCCATTCTGCAGGACCTGGCTCAATTGGCATACCATTTATAAATTCTAGGGCATCTTGCAATTTTCCAGCTCGGCCAAGGATGTCCACCATGCATGCATAGTGCTCGGGACTGGGCTTGAAGCAGTGCTCGTGGACCATTGAATGGAAAATTTTCTCTCCTTCTGTTACCAAGCCAGCATGACTGCAAGCATACAAAATGGAAAGGAAAGTAACCCCTGTCGGGGGAACTGCAGAACATAACATCTCCTCAAAAAGAAGTAGTGCTTCGTGTCCATGTCCATGAAGGCCATACCCAGATATCATTGCATTCCAAGTCACCACATTTTTATCCCTCGTCATGTCAAATAACCTTCGCGCCTCCTTAATGCTCCCACACTTTGCATACATGTCAATCAAAGCAGTGGCCACATAGATGTTAGACTCAAAACTCTCCCTCTTAATCAAGTCATGGACCCATTTTCCCAAACTTAAAGCACCAAGTTGAGAACATGCAGATAGTATACTGGTAATTGTGACAGGATTTGGATTAATATCAAGATTCTGCATTTCACGAAAAAGTGATATTGCCATTTCTGTCTGGCCATTTTGGGCATAGCCTGATATCATGGAGTTCCAAGATGCCAAACTTTTATCTGCCGACTCATCAAAAAGCTTCCTGGCAGATTCTATCTCATTCAGCCGACAATAAACTGTAGTCAATGCAGTAGAAACAGAAGAAATAAAAATAAAACCATACTTTACACAAAAACCATGAATTAAACTCGTAAGTTTCAAATGACCAAACGGATGGAACACTGGGATTAAACCAACCATAGTACTTGAATTAACTTTTTCCACTGAAAAAAGCAATTCTTTGAATAACTGAACTGATGACTCGGTTTTATTATTAAACGAATAACCAGAAATCATTGCGTTGTATGCAATCAAATCCGGCTTCCCAATTAACTCAAACAATACCCGAGCAGTCAAAATGTCCCCACATTTCGAATACAAAGAAATCAAACCAGTAAGCACATGCTCGTGAAAATGGCAACCAACCTTAATAGCCAAAGACTGAAGCATCATCCCAAAACTCATTTCCTGCAACTCAGCTATACCTGAAAGAACCACAGCTAACGTAGTTGAGTCAATCCGCATTGTCCTCTTAACCATATCAATGAAAACCCGGATGGCCTCATCATAGCAACAATTTTTCACCAACCCAGATATCACAGTGTTCCAAAGAACCGTATCTGGATCGGATACCCCACCAAACACCTTATATGCATATCCAATCCGTGACGAATTCATATACATATCTACCAAAGCCGAGCCCACAAACAAATCCGTGCCAAGGCCAGATATTATTGCCTGCCCATGAAGCAAAACGCCAAATTTCTCAGACCCGGAGAACGAAGTCGCAGAAAATGCCAAAATAATAAAAGAGTAGGTAAAATTATCAGGAACTAAGGTGGTTTGTTGACGTAGATTTTTGTACACAAGGAGAGAATCAAAGGGGTAGGCTTTAAGGCCTTTAATAAGGACATTGTAGAGGAAGAGGTCAGGTGATTTCGAGTGCGTAAAGAGGAGCTTAGCTTGGGCTGTGGCTTTGAGGTCCAGGAGTTTCTGTACCAGTTTTGTTATTGTAATGTTGTCATTGAAAAGATTGTTGTGGATTATTTGGGCGTGGGTTTGGTTGAGATGCAAGAGTGTTTTGGCCCTGTTTATTAGGCTGAGGAAGAAGTTCCTGTCCCTTGATACGGTGGCTCTGCAAATCATTGGGAAACTGAAAACTAATACCTGAACTGAAAACCTAGGATTTTTCTATTTTTAACACCATGGTATACGAATAATGCTTCGACTACAAGGCTTGTTCACAGGTCTTCTACAAGGATTCAAAATTGGTGACTTGTATTGCTGTCTTTTCTTCTGTCGCTTAGGATCCGTTTGATTGCAAAAATGAAATTGAATGAATTGAAAATAAATTTCAAGGAATTGAATTGTCTAGAAATTATTTTCTTGAGAATTGTAAATTATTGTGTTTGATTGGAATAATTTTTCAGGTGAAAAATGTTGAAATGAAAGTATTTTTGATCTACGTTTGACTTTATTTTACATGAAAATTGTCAATTAAAGGGATAGATTTTACTAGTATTATAGATGAAATTTGTTTTCATTGCCAACACACACCAAAAAAAAAATTAAGAAAATCATCTATATTTTGGTGTTCGTTTGATTTTGTTTTACATGAAAATTGTCAATTAAAGGAAAATATTTATTTACAATAATTCTTAGAATTTGTTTCTATTGCAAAAAAATAAAATAAATAAACGAAAAAAAATTGCTGCAGTAATCCGGGAAAATGAATTTTCACTCCTCATAAAGAAGGAAAATGTCTATGTGGCATCAAAAGGTGGAAAATGAATTCCATGAAAATTTTTGCCAATCAAACACCAAAAAAATGAAAAGATGGAATTGCAATTCCATTTTCCATGAAATTGGTGTGCAATCAAACATTACATTTAATTAAAAAAAAAAAAAGGAACGAAACAGGAGAACAAAATGAGGGAGAATTAGAAGATCGCGCCTCATTTCCCCCCAATTCTAGCTCTCCCACAAGGCTCCCTTCCGGTCGACGCTCACCCACATCCTCGCCGGCGTCACCACACCTCCGATCGCAATATGAACACCGGAGCGCACTCAATTTCCCCCGATTTTAGCTCTCCAAAACCCCTCTCACACTGTCGACGCCACACCCACCATCTTCCTCGGCGGCCTTCCACATCCGGTAAGAATATAAACTCCGATGACCATTACACTACTCACTACGCTCGAGAAATGTGATTGATTTCAGCTTAACTGCGGTCTTCATTACGCTATGGTTCGGGCATTATTCCGCGACATCTAGCCGGCGTTTTCATTACAAGAGTCGGAGATTAGAAGCACACCATTTTATGTAAGCTATTGGAATTTCTGTATGTTTTCCAATATTGTTGTATTTTTGGGCTAGCATTTGTTCTGTATGTCCGAGATTCTCGACTGTACTCTTGAATTTCCATTAGGGATTCTCGACATTATATTGTGTGTTCTATGCTTGAGCTGATTTGTAATTAACCGTTAATTATATAGGTTTTATACTTTTAAACCATATTTAGAATTATGACTAAATTCTATTATGGATGCCATTTAAACCCTATTAAATAAATATTCATGCATATAATAGTATTCCAGTAAATTAGGTTGTTAAATGTGTCACTAATTGATGGATGGTTGCGATCTAAAGAGTTCATGTATCATCTCTAGTAAATGAATTGGTGTTTTGTTTGATTTTGACGTGCAACGAATTGATTGTTGGCAACGACTTGATTTAAGTGGTATAATGGTAGTTTTTACGATAGTTGTATCATCTTGCTAGTCTTTACTAGATATGATTTTTGACGCGCAACTTTATAGTTCTTGGCAACTTATTCATAAATATTTTACAAGATTGTTCTTTTGATTGGGCAGAAATGATGAGCAATGGAGAAGTTTTTTTTTTTTTTGCAATTGATTTATTTCACATCCTGCATCTATTTTGAACAATTTGGGGTTCACTTATACAATGGTTTGTACAACTAATTTATATGCTTGTTTTCCATCTAAGGATATGAAAGGAAGAAATGCTGAAATTTGTCATAACTGTAGAAGTAATGGACATTTTTTCAATGAATGCCCCAGAAAACGTCGTTGCCCAAGGTGTGCATATGGATTTTAGAAATGTTTTGAGGTTGAAAAGCAAACGCATGAACGGGGATTATACAACACATGCGGTAAGAAATGTGGATTTTTCGAATAGGTCGAACAAGGAGAGTCAAGCGGAGAATCGAGTACCATTAATGAAACGCTCAAGGTTGCGGCAAATGAGGAAGTCGAAGATTTGCCAAGAATGTTCAAAATTCTTGCTCGAATATCCTACGAACGAGATGTAGAGATTAACTTGAATATTACTTTCCGCAAGGAAAATGGAAGTTCAGATGGAAACGGGAAAACAAAGGAGGCCATTTGATTAGTTTTATTGTGTTGAACGTGTTAATCGAATTACGTTTGTACTAGAACTTATGAAAGACGTAACTACGTAAGTTCTATCTTAGTATGTGTGTAATGCAATTTAGTTTTATGTGTATTCGTTACCTGTTGCCAAAATATATTCTCATCACCTGTGTTACTTGCTATCTTACTAAAGAATGCCATTCTGAGAAGCATCCCGACAAACATTGCGAAGCTACTGCTTTGGTTTTTCAAAATCTGCACTTGCTTTACATAAGGAACGGGAACTATGAACTAATGTTCTCTATTATAACCTTTATTTTTATTCATAAATGATGAGTAAATAACACAATATAAGTGCATGGTCATTAACTTCATCTAAATTTATCAAAAAATGGGTTGGCATTATACACGTGTTTGTTTCCGTCTCACATTCATAATGCAATAGTTACATCACATGATAGTTTTTTTCGCTTTTTCCCTCGACTGCAGAACAAAAAAAAAATACTAATACAATATCACTAAACAAATACTAATACAATATCACTAAACTATAAATTAGTCAGAACAGAATAATACTAATACAATATCACTAAACAAAAAAATAGTAAGGGGCAAAAAGTCTTGATCAAGAAAGGAATGGTTTAACAGATGGCACGATTGTTTACTACATGTATGCTAATTTTAAAATATGGAAGGCTTCTAGTCACACTCCAAAATCTCTGTTAGATCACCTTGTTTCAACATCCACCACCTAAAGCAAAACTTATCTAGGAGTACACCAAGAAGTATGAATATGCTATCACCGATATGCTTGCAGGATACTGGGCTAAAACTGGAGCCTGAAACATATGTAAGAAGGGAAGGTAAAGCTCTACTAACAACACAAATCAGCTATATCCCATAAATATATATAGATAATGAAAAATGAAGTGGCACACCTATCTCTTCATGAAGAAAATTAGAGTTATGAATCATTTGTCTGAAGTAAATCCAATTATCCAAATACACTACTAGAAATACAGCCAAATCATGGTAATCTAGAAATGCAAATTTTAAATTGGGTTTACAGAATCAAAGATCATTGGAAACATGATATTATAGGGAACTGAAAAAAAAGTTATGAAAATGTAAAAGCATAGACATGGAGGGATATTCTGATGTATGTGAAACTTTATTAAATTAGAGCTACTGCAATGTTTATGAAATTGTTTAATCACACTTCAAAGAAGACTAAGCCAACGTTTATAAAATTGTTCAACTCAACTAACAATTCATTACTTGAATAGATAGACAAGCTGCCATGCACATGCAGTTCCCAAATAAGCATAAAACGCCAAGATGCCAATTATCAATCCCTAATTCCAGAAAACTAGACAATAACCATCCAATGGGCTTAGGCTGACCCTTGGCACTTATTTCACTTTGCCCTGCAAATTCTAATTCCTTGTTTCCAAAAACGGTAGGACCAGGAAACATAGCCATTAGAATGGCACCACAAATACACAAAAGAGTACCTCCTAACTTAGCTTGCCCTTTGGTTCTTCGCAAATTCACTATTTTCTGTACTGCATAAAAGAAGAAATATATGTGACATCGAACACTGATAATATAAGTGGATTACGGATATATATACAAAAACCAGTTTTGTCAAAATGAATTATGAGTAATAAAACGTCAAACGATAAAGATGTCATTTGCCTCTGTCCAAGGAACTTCACTTACAGTATTAGAACGAAGGTTGATGTCAAAAATAAAAATGAAGATAAAATGACTGCAACAACAGAAATCAAGTAAAGTTAACCAAAGACGAAAAATAGTACACAAACACAAAGAAACTGGAAAATATAAATTATTAATGTCCTGGACAAATAAATATCGACACAAAGAACCTGAAACCTTCATTGAAGACCATGATGACAAAAAAATCAAGTTCCATGTTAATACTGAACTTCATCCCACCATCTTATGACTCGGGTCATCTACATACGGTAAATTTAGATAGTAACATGGAAATGAATAACCTATCGTAATGTGGACAATATTGACATAAGTAACTGAACACAATATAAATGTGTTTAATGCAATGAGGATTACAATTCAAGTACTCACCTTGAGCATTGAATTCAACTTGCATTAACAATGGCGGGATCAAATTCGATGATGGCATGTTTTGTGTAAATACTCGACTTTGGGTGTCGTTCTGCATCACACAACGTCAATCAAAGTGCAACCTAATTATTATAAGAAACAAAATGCATTAACCAATAAGAGTTCTGAATATGAGAAAGGTGTCTGCGTGGAATATTGTTCTCCAGATGCCATGACATCCGGTAGTGCCTATTCTGTATTACTTTGTCTAGCTCCGGTCTCCTTTTGCATGACGTCGAAGTTGTCTACATGTAAATCAAAACCACATGAGAAACTGGATTTCTATTGTACTACAAATGAGATGCTAACAAACTACAGTACCCTTGCTTTCTTTGATGTGGACTTCAATGGACTTTTTCTTCGAAGTTTTCGTGGAGCGCCTTTCCGCTTTGTTGAATTTGGATCCCGTATGCTCTGTCTAACGGTACTTTGCGAGTCAGTACATTGCGAAGCTAAATGAAGAGTACGTTGCGAAATGATACTATTTCCAGTACACAACTTCGTCAGCATAAGCTCTGTCACTTGGGATTTTATCCAGTCCATTATTGTACATGTCTGGACTTCGTCATCTGCAGTGAGGTCGGCCACTTGTGAAAAAGCTTTACACATGTCGTCATATCTCAACTGTCCAAGAGTATTGGCCAAACCATCGTAATTCACTACAACCCTCATATGTGG